TACAGCCCCTCGGGGCTGTCTCTATGGGACAGAGCCCTTGGAAAGGCTCTGGGGTCCCACTATAGTGTCCCTGGGGCATGTGGGCAGAGCCCCTGCTCGGGGCCGAGGGTTGTTCTGGTGCCGGGGAGGGAGTGGTGCCTCGTCCAAAGGTCCCGGTGATGGCTGGTGCTGGCGCCAGTGCCACCCCTCGGCTCACCTGGCCATGCCAAAACACCTTCCCAGGGTGGTGCCACTGGTGCTGGCCCGGAGAGCCCGGCTGTGGCACCGGCCCGCTGTGCCCCAAGCTCCTGCCTCAGTCTCCCCCTCCATGTCCCGCCGTGCCCACGGCTCTCACGGGGCTCCCGGGTGTGCCGAGGCGTCGCGGCCCCGGTGCCGCCCTGCCGGCGCCTCTGCCCCCACACCGGCTCTGCCGGGCCCGGCTGCCCCGGGGCTGGGACGGGCCCTGAGTCAGCGCCGGCGCGGGGGGGGGTTCGCGTGGGGCTCGGCCTCTCCCGGTGTCACCCCGGAATTAGCATCGCTCCCGTCACCCTCCCGCCCCGCCGGGCACGGGGGGTGTCGGGGGGCTGTGCAGGGTGGGGTGCCTACACCTGTCCCCCAAATCTCCCCCAGAGTCACTGCTGGACGACATCGTTCTCACCCACTCGCTGTTCCTGCCCACCGAGCGCTTCCTGCAGCAGCTGCACCAGCAATATCCTGGGGGGCAACGGGGGGTGTGACAGGGAGGGGGCCAATGTTGGGCACAGGGGGCATTGGGAGGGCACAAGGGAGGGCACGAGGGTGCAGTGAGGAGGGCTCTGAGGCTGGGCATGAGGAGGGGATCAGGGTGCAGTGAGGGTGGACACAAGGGTGTCATGAAAGGGACATGAGGGGGTGACCAGGTGGGCACCAGGGTGGGCAAGAAAGTGCCATGAGGGTGGCACAGGGGTGGGCATGAGAGTGGGCATGGGGATTGCGAGGAGGAGGAGGGTGTGGGGAGGGCAGCAGGGTACTATGGGGGGCTCACAGGAGCAGCAAGGAGGGAATTGGGGTGCCCATGTGGGTGGGCACATGGGGGGGCTGTGAAGGTGGGCATGTGGGTACATGAGAGTGGGCTACAGGTTTGGGTGCAAGGCGGGCAGGGGGCTACCCCCAGGGTGGGCACAATGGCCCTCACTGGGGTCCCTGGCTGCAGAGGGTGCTGGGGGGTGGCCATGGGGGTCCCTCCTTGCCGTGGCACCTCCTTGACAGTGCCACCTTCGTGCTGGCAGCGGGCAGCCCCCCGCGCTGGGAGGAGGGGGCCGGGCTGCAGCGCAAGCGGGCGGTGCTGGCCGTGCTCCTGCACTTCCTCGAGACATACAAGGGGCTGCTCCAGGAGGAGGAGAGCGCCGGGAAGGTCATCAAGGTGGGGGTCCCCTTCCCGTGTCTCCCCCCTCAGTCCCCCACAGCCCCCCGCCCTGACCCCTCTCGCCCCCCCAGGAGCTCTACTTGCTCATCATGAAGGACACGTCCCTCTACCACGACCTGGAGGACGAGATCCTCAAGCTGCACCAGCTCGTGGAGACGGTGGAGCTCAAGTGAGAAGGGGAAAAGGGGGTCTGGGAGAAGGGGAGGGGATCCTGGGGGACTCTGTGGGTCAGGGTGTCCCCAGGAAGGACAAGGATTTCTGGTCCTTGGGGACACACAGGTGCTGGGGGGTCATTAGCTCATTAGCAGCCCACCCTGGTGCCCTCCTGACTGCACCTTCATGCCCTCCCCGTGCCCAGCCCCAGACCCCTCTCCATTACACCTGTGTGCCCACCCCCTGCCCCCTTCACTGCATCCCCAGTGCCCTCCTCGTGCCCAACCTCCTTGTTCCAAGCAAGGCCCTGGGTGGGGGCTGTCAGGGCACCCAACACACCTCAGGGTGCAGCCCCAGGGGCACCAGGGCCTCGCCTGACGCCTTCCCTGTGCCCCCCCAGGGTGGCCGACGAGACCCCCCCCCCGAACAAGCAGGTGAAGCCGCTGTTCCGGCACTTCCGCCGCATCGACTCGTGCCTGCAGACCCGGGTGGCATTTCGGGGCTCTGACGAGAGTGAGTGACCAGGGTGGGGGCCTGGGGGTCCCCTCTCTGTGCCCCGCTGGCCCTGCCTGCCCCGTGCCGGCCCCGTGCCTCAGTTTCCCGGTGGGCAGTGCCCGGGGCGGGGCGGGGGGTGCCCTGTGCTGACGCCCCCACCCCTCCCCAGTTTTCTGCCGCGTGTACCTGCCCGACCACTCGTACGTGACCATCCGCAGCCGCCTCTCAGCCTCGGTGCAGGACATCCTGGCCTCGGTCACCGAGAAGCTCCAGTACTCAGAGGAGCAGAGTGCCCGTGAGGACGCCCTGATCCTCGTCACCATGGCCTCATCCGGAGGTGCCCGAGGGGCCGGGGGGGGGCTGTGGGCAGGGCTGGGGGGTCCCACAGGTGCTGACCCCCGTCCTGTGCCCCATGGCAGAGAAAGCAGTGCTGCAGCCCAGCGAGGAGTGTGTGTTCACCACCCTGGGCATCAACAGCCACCTCTTCGCCTGCACCAGGGACACCTTTGACTCCCTGGTGAGCTCTGCGGTGGTGACACCCTGATGGGGACCCCCAAGAGGGAACCCCCTGCCAGGGACATCACCCCCCCCCTCACCTACCCAGCCCTGGTGCCACAATCACTCCCTGTGCAGAAAGGGGGGACCCCTATGCTCCACCCCATTTCCCTGTCCCATGTTCCCATGTTCCCACCCCATTTCCTCCCTCCATTTCCCTGTCCCATGTCCCCACCCCATTTCCCTGTCCCATATCCCTATCCCATTTTCCCACCCCATGCTCCCACCCTGTGGCCCAGCACCCCCTGAGTGTCCCCGTAATCTCATGTCACCCCCCCCTCAGGTGCCGCTTCCCGAGGAGATCCAGGTGGTCCCGGGGGACACGGAGATCCACCGCGTGGAGCCCGAGGATGTGGCCAACCACCTCACTGCCTTCCACTGGGAGCTCTTCCGCTGCATCCACGAGGTCTGGGGGGGGTCACAGGGGGGAGGGCTCGGTGTGTGGACACTGCTGTGTGTGTGTGTGTGTGGCTCTGATGCCACGTGTGTAACTCCCCCCCCCCCCCCCC